ATATATTTCTTTTAAATCCAAAATAGAAAACCTCTCTTCTTTAAGAGCAATTCCTTATGTTAGCTTATTTTATGAAGTATTTTAGATACATGAAAAATGTGCAATTAAAAATAGAACAAACTTAAGCATACCCACCATCCAGCTAAAATACAGAACATTACAGTTTGTTATCTATCATGTTGGCAAAAATCCTTGAGTCTGACAAAACGCCTTATTATCATCTCTGCAGGGAAACAGGCACTTTCACATACTGTTGGCAGGAATGTAAAAACGGTATAATGGGAATTTGGCAATATCTAGCAAAATTACATATGCATTTAATCCTGGACACCACCACAATCACCTTTCTATAAATCTGTCTCAAAGATATATAGGCAGAAATGTGAAATGATGTATACACAAACTTATTCATTGTAGTTACTATTTGTAATAGCAAAGGATTGCAAACAATCCAAATATTCATCAATAAAGGACTGGTTGAAGAAATAATGATGAAGTGCTATTCCACTATAAAAAATATTCTGTAAAATGCTGTGAATTGCATACAGCATATTACCTTTTGTATAAGAAAGAGGGACTATAAGTGTGTGTGTGTGTGTGGGTGTGTGTGTGTGTGTATAAGCATTTTTTTTTAAATATCAGGATAAACCAAAAGTCAGTGAAAAATGGTTACTCGTGGCAAGGCGTGGTCACTCACACCTATAACCCCAGCACTTTGGGAGGCCAAGCTGGGTGGATCATGAGGTCAGGAGTTCAAGACCAGCCTAGCCAAGATGGTGAAACCCTGTCTCTATAAAAAAATAAATAAATTTAAAATTTTTAAAAAAAGAAAAAAATGGTTACTCATCGTGGAAGGAAAAAACAGGAATCAGAGCATGTTCAACCTCATATGTCACTAGGGAACTGCAAATTAAAATGAGATACCACTACACACATATTAGAATGCCTAAAATTCAAAACACTGACAGCACTAAATACTTGTGAGGATGTGGACAACAGGAACTCTCATTCATTGCTGGTGGAAATGCAAAATGGTAAAGCCACTTAGGAAGACAGTTTTGGCAGTTTCTTACAAAACCAAGCATTCTCTCTCACTATATGATCCAGCAATCATACTCCACGATATTTGTCCCAATGAGTTGAAAACTTATATCCACACAAAAATCTATATGTGAATTTTTATAGCAGCTTTATTTATAATTGCCAAACTTTGAAAGCAGACAATGTCCTTCAGTAGGTGAATGGATGACAACCTGTGGTACATCTATACCTTGGAGTATCATACAGAACTAAAAAGGAATGAGCTATCAAGCCACTAAAAGACATGGAGGAAACTTAAATGCATACTGCTAAGTGAAAAAAAACAGTCTCAGTAGATAGCTCTAACTGCAAGAATCCATCCTTATCCACAATTTTGCTTTCTGCAGTTAACCAAGGCCTGAAAATATTACATGGAAAATTTCAGAAATAACTAATTCATAAAGTTGAAATTGCACACCATTCTGAGTAGCCTGATGAATTCTTGTACTATCTTGTTCCATCCTGAAACATTTCTTTGGACCCGAAACATTCCTTTGTCCAGCACATCTGTGCTCTATATGTTACAGCATATATATTAGTCATTTAACTGTCTCAGTTATCAAATCAACACATATAAGAAGAGTGAGTAGAGTACCATTAGGTATTTTGAGAGAGGAGCATAATTGCATAACTTTTATTACAGTATATTGTTATAACTGTTCCATTTTATTATTGTTGTTATTAATTTCTTACTGTGCATAATTTATAAATAAACCTTATTATCAGTATGTATGTATATGGTTCTATACTATCCATGGTTTCAGGCACCTACTGTAGGTCTTATATCCCTTGAGGATAAAGGGGGACTATTATGTATGACATTCAGGAAAAGGCAAAACTATGGAGCCAGGAAAAGGTCAGTGGTTGTCAGTTCTGGGGAAAGAAGGGAGGGATGAATATTGGAACATAAAGGATTTGAGGGCAGTGAAATTACTCTGTATGTTAATGTAATGGTGGATCTGTCATTAGGCATTTTACAAAAG